TATAAATTAGCTATAATTTATAATAGGTAAATTTGTAATTCCGTATAGAAGGCATAAAGATTTAAAATTAAAATTAAAAAGATTACACAAAACACACGAATATAACTGTTCTATTAAAATATATTAATAAATAAAATTTAAAATAACGTATAATAATCATATTGTATTTTCTTAGTTCCACTAGACCCAGAGACAATTAGGATAAATGGAATACACGGTTTTAGATTTCGATTTATGAATATATTTCATAAAATAGTTATATTCAGTGGCGTGATAACGGTGGTACTCGATGGTGCATTTGCGTTGTACCTCCTGGTTTTCGATTGCAATGATTTATTTAATTTTAACTCGTGTGCGATTATTTGAAATATTCAGTATAATTAAGGTATGATATTTTTTTTCTCGGAATTCTTTCATGCCATCCATTACATATGCCGATTTTTTTGTCTGGTAGTATTTTTTTTTTTTTTTTTTTTTTTTTTATTTTTTGACATTTATAATATTTTTTTCCAAATACTGATTAAACAAATGTTCCAATATTGTTTTACACGCAGTACCTTAAAAATAGGGAATTTTTTTCTTGGTGGTATATGATTTAAAAAATGTATATGTGTTGCGATTGCCAATTATACCAACCATTTTACTTTTGATAATTTAAATTTAATAATATTAAAATAAACAAAGATATCAAATTTTCAATGACTATTAAAATTGCTCATAATATTTCAAATTAAAAATGTTGAAGTTCATCCATTCAGCTACACGTAATAATGTTGGATAACAAGAAAAATTTGATTTACAATAATTTTTAATACGTCTAAAATGTGTAGGTACAATTTTTCACCTAGTACTTACGGTATTGATAATTTTACATGGTAACTGAAAATTGCACGAAAAATCAAGCCTAAAGGCTAATGATTAATACATGGCTATATAATTAAATTTTATATTTTACGTTTTCTTTTTTTCTCTAAGTATACTGATCAATTATTTATAGGTATTCAATTTGTATAATATTTAATTTTGCAGAGAATTTTTTTTTTTTTTTACTTACAATAATATAAGACTATTTACAATTTAAACAACGTAGAAGATTGACTTGTCTTTCGAGATTTTTATACTGACCGGTGACACTCTGTCTCGAGTGCAATCGAGCCGACATTTACAGAACTGCAGTCTGTTAAAATAACATTAAAAGCCACAGAAATGATTTATCGTACTGATATATTTCTGACACACAAGTCGTGCCGTGCTTATATAGCGGAAAATAAAATTGAAATACACACTAAAATTAATTTTGATAAAACAATGTTCACTGGTTTAAAAAAAAAAAAAGAAAAACCCTATAATTTTCAATAATACAGGTATAGATTGTAAATATTCAAAATTCGAAATTTCCTGCGAGAAGTCATAAAACTTTAAAAAAAAAAAAAGAAAAACCCTATAATTTTCTCCAAAGATGAACTTAGATGTACAGTATCTTTCTACAAAAGTGTACTTTTTAGGGTTAATTTTTTTTAAATTTACAAGTTAAATTTAAGTAACACAAATATCGAATATATACCTGCTGTACCTTTAGTAAATAAAAAATAGTAAATAGCTAATATTTAGTAGGAAACAAAATGAAAAATGTATACCTACAACACAAGGGAACAAGAGTCGTTATCTGTAAATTAAATTTTTTTTTTTATTCAAACGATTTTCGTAAATAACTACAGTTTTGACGTGTGTCGATTTATTACTCAAGTACGCGAAGAGACTTCAACGGTATTGGGTTTTTCGTCACGTATATTTTAATTAGATCAAATATGACGTAGTAGGTAGGCATGCGATACAATTCGCCGCCTATTACAACCAGAAAGAAGTCCCTTTATTGTCGTGCGGTTTTTTTATTGGTATTACTTATTTAAAACTGAACAAAAAAAGGCATAGAGAAATACTAAATCGTTATTTATGATTAAAATCTGTATTTAAAATCATATAAAAAGAATCCAGGTATAAAACTTGTTTTTTTTTTTTGTGTTATAACCTTAAGAAGGCTAAATGTTTAATTGGAAAAAATTTTAGTATACACGAAGTAATTCGTTTCAATCAATTTCAATGATTAAGATAATTCAGATTTGTATCGGAACTAGCGTTTTTTTTGATAACTTAAAGTAAGTACAATATTTTGAGTGTTCTCTCAGAAATTGTTTTCCAATAACATGAAAGAAAGAAAAAGAAAAGTTTTCTTATGTTAACGTTAAAAATTGTCCGTTAAATATTTTGTCCAACGTCAAGATTTAGACTATAAACTAATGACGACGTATTCAAAATTGTTGACCGTATATTTTTCCTCCAACGTATTAATTGGTAAAGGTTTAAGTGCTTAATATTAAAATGAAAATATTTAATTATACCGAAATAATTGATTGTTGTTAAATTTTAATCGATACAACTATTCAAAACAATTTCCTTTCAATATAAAATAATAATATGTATCTCTAAAATCGAATGATATGAAACCTATCCGACTAATGTAACACAATTTCTCACTAAAAACGTCCGGTCATAATATTATGGTAACGCGTAATGAAAATAATTGCAAATGTGAAAAGTGAATGCATAAAAAAAAATAAAACCAATTCCATTGGGTGGCTTTGAAAAATAATTTGACACAAGAATGGGAAACGAGCGGTTTATATAATGACACCGGGGACCAGAGTGTGGGACAGCGTAAAAACTAATTTTTTTGAGGTCCCTGGAGTGGCGATAATATTATGTGTAATGGAAAAAAGTCATTCTTTAGAACGAAGTCGATCATCATAGCGAAAAGTAGGGCAAAATGTTGTTTTAATCGAAAATTCGGTATATTTTACACCTGTTTGTACCTACTATTGTGTAGTTTATGTCGACTGAACTGTCTAAACTTCTAAAAACAAAAAAATCGCATAAAAGACGTCTAAGTTTATCCCGGTAAATAATCTTTTCTTAAAGAGTGTCTGTATTCAAATTTATAGAATTTGCAGATTATAATCGTTTTTGATAACTTTAAATTAAAAACAGAAGTGCATAGCCGCGTCCGCCATCAGTGAATATTGTTCTACAAAGACCCGAAAGTCACAAAAAAGGTACGCCTTTGTTATTAGTCAAATTTTTTTTGTGATTTTTTTTTTTTTTTTTTTGAACCTCAGCGTTCCTAATCGTGCGAGAGAAAGAATCCGGACAGTCCCTGAGGATCGCGTTTAGGAAACCATACAACTTTACAACTTAGAGAGAAGCATTGTAAGAGTCACACATGCAATACAATAAAGCGTTAAGAGAACATAGATCTTATGGGCAATACGGTGTAGAAACGCTAACTGAAAATAAATGCTGCGTAATCTTTAATTTTGTTTTAGGTTCTGAGCGAAGCGGAGTTTTAAAAATATATTGATTTTACAATGATGTTTATTTTGTTTATACAACTCTACCAGAAATCTTGCTCCGATTTTCACATTTTATGAAAGGAAGAAATCTTCTTGAAATGATACTTTTAAAGAAGTAATTTTATTGTTTTCCGAGCAGTTAACTTCAGTCAAAATAAAATAGGAAAAAAGTATAAAAACGGGAAAATGTACGAAAATACTGCATTTATTATTTTCAACTTTGTTTTTTTTTTGTTCTATTCAGTTATAAATGTTCATAAAAACCTGGAATTCGGATAAAACCTTACATTTGCCTTTCATAGAAGTGGTAAAATTTTCAAAACATTTAAGATCAAATTTTGACGAAAATCGTAAATATTACGGCCTTTTAAAAGATGAATAACCGAACTGCGCTCAGAATCGTTTTTCAATAGCAATAATTAATCATTGCATACAAAAATACAATCACTCTTTATCCTTTCTTCCTAATTTCTCACCTACAACAGTGGACCACCCACTGTGAGAAGTATATCCTTTTTTTTTTCAATTAGTTATTATAACTGTGAACTGATGGTTCACATTTTTACGTACTCGGAATTTATTATTGTTGATTGGACGGGAAATGAAAGTAATTCAACTTTGTTTTCTTTGATCCCCCTCCTATTTTTAACTACTAAAAGGTTTTTTTTTTTTTTTATCGAATTTTAACGGTCTAAGTAATTTTTTCAACACGAAATTCGTTGAGATTTAAACGGTACTTTAAAATGTTCCTATTCATTACGTTTGATACGCCTGTTTCGTATTACTATTTTCACAATACTTACTGAAATTGTAATAGGAACGTGAATAATATATAGTGTTTCATCAGTCTCTACATAAGCCTTCTACACAAACGTTCACCAGATAAACATTACTTAATGACATCATATCTAAAAATAACGCTTACAATAAAAATGTTCGTACCTCCGACGATTTTGGACTTGTAAAAGTGATAGTTTGACCATTAAAGTCCGTGAACCATAAGAAGAACTTATACTGTTAACGGGCGCGTCACTGTTGTGGTCGGCAAGATGGGAAGGCAGGATATTTGATTTATGTCTATTTTAAAGCAACTATAAGTCATCGATAGCGAAAAACGATCCTGAGCAAAGTTATACGCGTATTCTGAAATGCTGTAATTTCACGATTTTCGTCGAAATTTCAACTAGGATAAAAAAAAATAACCGCATTTTAACATCGAGTACGAATTGCTCAGATAACGTTGAACGATTTCGACGGTGTCGGATTTGTACTGCCACAGTCTCACGCGTCCGCGTCCGCGTGCGCGTACGGAGACGTTTGTTCACGCGAGGTCCAGGCGCCTTCGAACCATCCGAGTACGATTCCGGCGTTTTCGTTGTAATTACCTGGGCTGTTTTATCATTATTATTAATTTTTTTTTTTTTTTTTTGTTCTGTTCACGGCGGCGTTTTTCCGTCCCACTCGACCACCGTACACGGAGCAACAGGAGGGCCCGCGGTTATACCGTGCGCAAGAATATTGTTATTATTAACGCGGCGGCGGCGCGATTTGCGTCCGTCGCGGGCCGTCCGCGGCGAGCGGGGGGCGGGGAAAATGGGCGGCCAGAAAAAGGCGGCGGCGGAGACCCTCTCGCTCGGCGGCGGCGGCCCGCGGACTCCCGGCGTGTACACGCGCGCCGCATTCTTTAATTCGGCTCCCGGCCAAACGCACTGCCGCCGCCGCCGCCGTCGCACAACACGTTGTCGCTTCGTCGCGCCACGGACGACGCCGCCGCCGGTCGTCTATCCCGCGTTTCCGCTACGCTCTATACGATCACCGCCGCCACCGCCGCCGCCGCCAAAGTCACCACCGGAGCACGTGTGCTCGACGACAAAAGGCCACTGCGCTTCGCAACCCTTGGCCCCGGGTAAGTGGAACGATATTTTCTTCGGAATTTTTAGAGACTCCACGCACGACGAACTTTATACGCTCGGTTTTCGCGAACGGCCGCTCGACGAGAAATCTCGCTGCGACCGGACGGTTCCGTCCGGAGACGTTTTCTCGTAATCGGCATTTTTAAAATTTATTTTTCCAATCTCGTCGGCACGTTTAGGGGGGGGGGGAGGATTCGATTCTGCTTGTATTGCTCCGTCGATGAACGGGGAAAATCTACGACTGTTAGTATACATACTCCGCTTCGAATCGTTTTCCGGTAGTCGGACGGTTTATCGCGTTACGTATACAAAGTGTTAATTTTTCTCTTCCAAAACAGCGGCACATCCGTCAAAAGTTCCAGTCTCTTTGTTTTTTTTTTGTTTTTTATTCCTACATAGCGAAGAACGTATTGTTGGTATTATTCTATATAAAGGTGGCCCAACGGAGTTACAGAAGTGTTTTTTCCGCGATTACAAATTGTTTGGTAGTACACGATAAAACGACCGTACGGTTTTTGAGTAAAAATTTTCATTATTTATAAACGGCGACAAACGTCGGCACCTCCGTTAGGAAACCAGATTTTGACGTGTCATAGTGTCCGAGATTTTGTTTTTTTTGATTGATAATCACAATTTTACTACCGAAATGTTCGCTCCGATCATCCGATTTAGACGTCACGGTTTGCTTTGTTGATATATTTTTGAGACGGTCGGTTTTTGATTTTCTAAACAACAGGTGAAAAAACGTCGAGAAAACGGGGAAATGTACGCAATAAAACGAGGTATCGTATTTTAGATTTTTCGTAATTCAATTAAAAATAATCGTAGAGATCCAAAACATTCACTGCAGACATTTTATAATTTATTTTTGTCAGCGGTTTAAGTTCAAAGTTATGTAAAAGTCCGTTAAAAACATGAAAGTTTGCAAAGTATGTGGGGGTTTTTCTATTGTTGTCTTACTGTCGCGTCGTTTCGCTGTTCACGAATCGAGAACATTTTCACCCGTATCTAGATGCGACGCTTTTCTACGACCTAGGTACTACAGAATACTATAAAAAATTTACTACTATACATATTTAAAGGTCTACACTCTACGATTAAAGGTAAGACATAATTGCAGGAATAAGCATCTAGAAACAGATAATCAACTCGGAAATTTTTATCTAGATTGAAAACATAAAAACATTTTTTTTTTTTTTTTTTATTGCCCCGGGTAATTTACCCGTCAGAAAAAAATATACCAAATAATAGTATATCCGATGTATAGTATACATTTCTAATACGGATTTCAACACGGTTGTGCGATTGCTGTAACTTGATAATACTATTAATTAATAGTATTGAACGAACTATTTATACGTTATAATAAGAAAAAAAAAACTTTTCAAACGTAAATTCTATATGCACGACGATTTAAAAATGATTTTTCTAGGCGATTCGATAATGTTCATCTCGGATGGCTCGTTCGGATATAACGTCTTGTTTCCCATTTATATTTCCCATATGTTATCTTAAAAAATAACACGCCGTAGACTCGTCGGGCTTTTCCCCGACGAACAGCACAACGGAAAATCGCAACTCGGAAAAAAATTCGCCTTCGATTATAATAATAAACGTGTTAATTTACCGTCTTCTCACTGCAGTACATTTTTTCGTTCCAATTACAACTGCCCGACGCAATATAATAATACACTATGTAAAGGAATTAAAAGAACAAAACAATCGTCTGGAGAATTTGTTCCGCAGCATTCTCGCCCCCTCGTTTCCTGCGACAGACACGCAATTCGATTTCCAAACCGCCCGCTATAATGTAATAACGATTATTGTTGGTGTCTACCTAACGCGATTGTCATTAATGCACAGACCAAAAGTGCGATTCTCGTTAATATTACCGTCGTTATCATTTCGATCGTTTCTCGTTTTTTTTTTTCCCCCCGCCAACAATGATAAAACAAATATTATATTCCACGAGGATCTTAAGTCGATAACGGCGATTATCTTCTACACGCGCCATTAGTTTTCGCCCCGCCTAAACCGTGTATATTATATTATTTGCCGGCGATTGTGATTATTGCAACCTGACATTTCGAAATGTTTGATTGGACAATTTCGTTTATGCAACGAATTATTATTGGTTCGAGAATCAAAATTAGGTATATATTCGTTTCATTTCCAAAATTAACGATTAACAAAAATAATCGTAATGTAACATTTTAAAGTTTCTTGTTCCATAGATTTTCAAAAAAAATGTTTTTGTAAAAAGTAAACACTTTACGTAAAAATAACGAGTGTTTTGCGTTAAATGAATCACCCTGTATGTTGAAACGAAACAATATTGAAGTAAATGAGTGGGACGAAGGGTAGAATATATTTTTTTCAATGCTTATGAAAATAATACGATGTTTTGAGTATATTTTATCAAATGTTGGAAACCACGCCGAGAGGGGAAAATTTGTACGTAAGTATCGGTCAATTAAGTTGAAAAATTGAAAGTACCGATTAAAAAACTATTGTAGTTTAAGTAGGCACGTGGCTGTAAAAAAATTTCGCTCTGGCATCAATTTTAATAACGGACTACTATATAGTCTACTATAGATCCTTCTTTCCCCACGCCCTTCAATTATTACCAGCTTACGGTTTTCTCGTCCGTCGTTTTTTTTTAAATGTACCTACAGTATGGGTGTTATTATATTACAGTATAATAATTAAAAATGTAATATTATTATTACGTACGAATTGTTGGTTTTTCTTTCTAAAACGCGTTACGTTAATTTATTGCGAAAACCTGACTGTTATGATTAAAATCACGGCCCTCCTTTGAACTTAACAAACAAAGCAATAGGGATAAAAAAGAAAAAAGAAAAAAAAGGTTAGGTATTTTAAGTAATTGAATTAATTCTCGTCTTTTAATCACTAAAAAAAGTGTACCTAATAATAACATTGTTGTATTTCATGAAAATGTAATCATAACACCAGGATTGCGTTGAAAAGTAAAATATTATTATAAACATTTTTAAAAATATAAAAATAATATACATTTTAATTATTTGTCGAAGTTTTTACACTGCAAGTTGTTATTACTATGTAAATGGAAAATTAACATGTTAAAAATTTTAATGAAATTGTAACATAGACTTAATAAAGTACGATTGAATTCCGTGCGACAATAGTATTAAGTCCCGTAAGCGAGATATCTGTCCGTTTTTCTACAAATTTCGTTTCGTTTCTTTTCTGTAAGCATTTTATTATTTTATCAATATTCAAAATGTCTGCATGTTTTTCTTCGGATTTTTTCCCTGTCCAATGATATTTGCTGGATGAATCTGCATTTGACTTGTTATTTTTTATTAAAATTGGTAGGAAATCGTGCGGAAATGATTTTGGTTACAAAACTTACAAATTTAATGAACACTACTCCTAATACAGTAGTATTACATACAGTACTATTAATACTTCTATTTATTTGAGTATTTTTTTTTTTTTTTGATCTTTATGGAATCGCATTGGAAATTTCGGTTTTATATTAACGCACAATATTTTCAAATACTATTGTCCCAAATACAGATATCATACAAAACGATTATTGATTTTTGATTTTTAAATCTCCTCTTTAATTCATGTATACAGATAATATTATACAATTTTGAACGTTTTGTAAATATCATGATCATTAAACAATATAACGGCTTAACGAAATCGAATTAAAAATGAAATTTTTCTCGAAATCTTCGTGGGTAATCGCTGGTTCCTAATAAAAAAATTTTTAAAAAAAAAGTCAATACCATTCATGAGTAGACGGGCGGTTAGGAAGGTAAACTATAAAAGGTTATTTAGTTTATATAGGTGCCGTGCGCCACGATAAATCATTGTAAACCAAAAAACAACCTAAAGCGATACTATTACCCGTGTTTATTTGTTAATTTTTTTTTTACCAATAAGGTAACCCAGAAATCGACAACAATCAAAGAAAAAACAAAAAAAAAAAACTAAGGGACGGAGGACCGCCGAAAATTTCAATAAACGTTTCGGGTGAAGCGGAGGTGTATCGCCGGGCGAAAATTCCGCGTTTCCGGTGGCACGCGAGAGTCTGAGCGTTTTTTTCCCGGCCGCATAAAAGCGTTTTCGTAGGGGTTAAAAAAAAAAATACACGTCTCCGCGAAACCGATACGGCGTCTTCCGTTTCGCCCCGGAATCCAAAAGAGTCGCGCCGCGCGCAACAATAACAACCGTATTTGTAATCCCGCGTTCGTTACGTACCGTGTATAATTGACGACAATTGCGCCGCGCCGTTCGGCAGTAGGCCGGGCGCGTGCACCCGATATTTCGTATTTTTCTAACGTGGGCCCGTCGCGAACGGACGCCGGCGACATTTAAAGTCGCGTACGGTCGCGCCGTAACGCGCAGTTCCGGGCGCCGTCGAATAACCGGCGTAATTAATATCGTCGTCGTTGTTGTTGTTGTTGTCGTTGCGGAAATCGCGGAACACCGGAACGCGGAACGTCAGTAAGCTGAACGGGACGGACGGACGACTCGCGAAAAGCCGTGGGCGCGACGCGCGTGCGGTTCCGGTTCGCGGCCGAGACGGGCGTGAAAAACCCCCGGGCCGGGACCCGGCGTAAAAATCCCCCGCCCCCCGAATACGCGACTAGACGAGACGCCGCGCCGTTTTCGATTTCGGACGGTACGGGAAATCCGCGCGTTTTCGCGTTTTATCCTCGCGATTTCGTCCGTCGCTGTACCGTCACCCCCCCCCCCCATCCCCGCGCGGCGCCCGAATTCCCGTCCCGGCGACATATCTCCCGCCCGCCGGGGGGGGGGGGGGGGGGGGTGGAAACGCCGGGTCGGATACACGATTGTTATATCGGACCGTCCGATAAGTTACTAGCGAAAAAACGCGTGTTGCGTCACGGCGCGACGTATACCGTGCAATAATATTATTGTTGTTGTTGAACAAGACGGCGGCACGGTATTTTGCACGGTTTCCACGAAATAAATTTACGAACGCAGTTTAACGATCTGCCGTTTAAGGAAAAAAAAAAAATAATAATAATAATAATAATAATAACCGCCCGACCGTTGTGGAAATTATGAATAAACATGAAAAATAATAACGACACAAAAATACTGTTTGCA